CACAGTGATTACAAAGCCTCTTCTTGATGGTAGTGTTGAAGGAAAAATGTATAGACCTCAGCTCACTTCTGAGTGAGGTGTAGTAAGTCTCGTGATTAATGCTGAAGGCTGTGCAAGAGCAATGTAAGGAATTTTCYTGCTATTTAATTACTCAACCACGATGTGAGATTTGCAGCAAAGTAAGAAGTAAGGCTCCAGGAATTTCCAGGTTATCCTGAGAACAAAATGAATATTTTATTTAAGAACATACAGCTATTCATAGTATAGATGAACGTAAAGGCCACTGCAACATAAACTRTAATACAACTATAATACTCAACAGCTTTGAGTGGGAAAGTCTCACACTTCCACAAGGCAATTTCCACTTTCACTGAAAGGCAGGCTGAACTGCAACAAATCCCAGCACTTGTGTTGCCTTACAAAGGACRTGACACTAGACAGATCTGCTCAAATTTGAAGTGCTTTTTAATATTTTGTTACCTTACAATGGTTCTTCACTCAGTAGCTCAGAAATGTCTTGTTTTTTGTCATGTGGCTTCTACACTAGATTTGTATATTCTTAATGCTATAAATATTTTTTGCTCATGTCTTGCATGTCCCTATGGACTCTTAGCAGAAGGTTAAAAAGCACCTCAGGTCTTTTCTACTGGGTCCTTTCTAATTATGAATATCTGCACAAGGAGAAATAGAGGATGTGGAAGCAATAGACAAATACTACTTAGAAGAGGTATAAGATAATCTGTTTTCTCCCTGTTTGCCTGCGTGGAGGTGTAGCTATCACTAAGCAGAGGTGTAGCTATCACTAAGTGACTAGTGATGGTAATGCTCCCCTCCAAAATCTCATCTTGCTTGATGAGGGCCAAACGACTGAGCATTCACCTCGGGTTAGTTGAAGCAACTGCTTTCAACTTCTCAGATGTGGCGAGGTGCCTATAGAGAGGCCCTGTATTTATATCACTTCAGTAAATTAGTTTATTGACACTACCTTCAACTGAACAGTTTCCAGAGTTATACTAAGTTACTACAGAATTTATTTAAACATCCTATTCAAATAGCAGTTTTCTATTTCATCCTCAGAGAAAATGATAATAGTTATTATATAAGCAAAACTGTCTTCCAGTATATAGCATTTACTTTTTTCCTATGCTTTTACCCTTGCAGTCACTACTTTTCAGAATACTGTTGTGATAATATAYCAGAATCTCTTATATTTTAAGTTGCTTTATATACACAAAGCAAGAATCAGATTAACAAAGTAAAGAATCAAGGCTCGTGTTTCTCATGATCTTAAATTTTTTTCCTGTATGGCAGAATGAATACAACTATTATGATGAAGATCTTTTTAAAAATATGAGAAAAAGAGGTAGGCATATATTTGGTGCGGCTCATTATTTTATCATCCTGAAGTAGTACCATGTTCTTAATACGATTTTGATAGAGCCATTTAAATGATATAATTCACTCTAAATCCACTGAATTGCCTTTTCCACATGTGTTCTGTTTAAAATTTTATTTTTGAAATATTCTAGTATTTTATTTATGAAATACTCTAGTATTTTACATGAAAGGTTTCAAACATTCTTGCTTCATTTTGGAAGCATCTGGCAAGGCTGCACGGCTCTCAGATGTACATGTAAGCCCACAGCAATGAAATTTATTCTCTTCATGGGTCTGCCAGTGCACAAGATCTGTTACTATATTTTCATTCCTTTCCCAGTTTTGGGCACACTTAGCAGCATAGAAACTGAARGAAGGAGGCCAGGACATTGGATAGAAAGGAGAGTCTTCAGGCTGTAGTTTCCGGGTGAGCAGCAGCAATTGCAGGCACAGAAAAAATGCTGCTCATCAGCTGTCTCTGTGTTAGGGATTATAGATTGGGCATCAAATATGTTATATACATACATATACCTGGTCTATTTGTACATATTTATACCTGGTCTCCATTCAAACGCTTTGCAGCACCTGTTTGATTCCAAAACTTCACCTCTTCTCATCCTTACACTTCAGCATATCTAGCATTACCTGAACTGTCATATTCAACATCACATTATTTTACTTATGTGGYAAAAACATCCTTACATTGCCCTTGCACAGCCTTCAGAATTAATTGCTGGTCATAACTCCCCAGAGCTCCTCAGAAGATGTACACATTCTTCTTTTAACGCCCCCAGGCCAGAAGGGCAAGGAGGGGCTGTAGGTGCATCAAGGAACACTCCAAATCTGTTTAAAACAAGCTCTGAGCTCTGCCAAGGTGCTCCAGCTRGTATCTCAAAATATTTAACACATCTAATTCTGAAAACAGGTGCAGTGGTGGCAGACAATTCTCCATGGTTCTACCTAGCTCTAGGGCACACAGCTAAAACTGTTCTTAACTGCGCCTATCTTAACTCTGCATTTCMCCTTTCTTACTAGCAAAGGTTGAAACCAGTTTTTAGGTTTCCAGCAGTGTGCAGGTCATTTAGGTTGATGTTCAAAAAGAGAACAAGAACTAAAGTTGCCTGAATGCATCCCTCCACCCCCATCAAACCGGAGAACTCCATTCTCTGAATATAAAATAAACATATGAGCGTAAAAGTTATGTTTTGGATAAGCTATCAYTACAATCTCAGTATCAAAACTCCATTAAAAAAAGCCCCGTCATATAATAGGTCTTAATAATTCTATTTACTATAATGATAGTTAAGTTTAAATAAACCAAAACTTAGTATACATGCTGAATAGGTATATTCTTACCTGTTACCAAACATGAAAGTAATTCATCCTACATAGATCGCAGACCACACAAACCACTTCAACTCCAGGCATTCATAAATATTTAATAAATTAGACTAATAAAAACAGTTTTGATAAGAGCACCTGCCTAGGGGCTCAGAAGATGGAGAAGGAGAGTAGCCAAACTAATACAGCCCACAATTTTTTCTACTTGAACTGGAACCTACAGGATGTAGATGCTGGTTGGCAGGCTGTCGTTTGAATAGTTGGCTCAACACAGAATAGTTACTCATTATGTGATGGCTACATCATTCAAAGATATTTCCAATTGCATAACATATCCTGGAGGGGGAAAATGTGATTTTCCCACTAATATCTGAATTACAAAGCTATTACAATATTTAATTTCATTAGCAAAGAAATGCAGGCAGAAAGTGCTGGTTACAGCTTAAGTTTACAACATTAAAATTCCAACAGCTTCTCTACTCAGGAAAATGTAATAATATTATATCCTGCTGGAACATATTAGGTATCTTTGAAATAGTTAAGTGATTTTTTTCTTTGAATTACTTTCTGCCAATGGCCAGAATTCTCTCTAAATGTCCAAAACTAACTTTGAAAATTCGATGTGAAATTGGTATTGCTTTTATATTATTGAAAAAGAAAGATTAATGACATATTTCAGAAATCTAGTAATAACTGGCTTTTTTTTCCCATTGCTCAAGTTGTATGTAATCCTCAGTGGATCTTAGATGCAGCTTTAAAAAAGTATTTAATGTCTGTTTTTCAGTTGCCAAGGGTCAAACATCACCTAGTGTATATAARGAAAGAGGAAACATCTGTTGGAATAACTTATTTGACTAACACAGAGGGTAGCATTAAAATTCACTAATATCAGTGATACCTAATTTCAATTAAATGTAGTTGCATGTTGAGTRTGACAAAGTCTGCCCACTTTACATGTAGGTCTATTTGTGCATACAACAAATTATTGATCTATTGAGAGAACAATGTGATTTATGATTATTTTATAATGGCACATGCTCTCAAAAGAAGATGCTCGTATTTTGATATGCTTTATTTCCTTCAACATTTTAAGAAACACAGAAAATTTAACTAGTTCCTGAGAACTGGAGAGAGGTTTGAGCACTATGTGCCTTCTGTAGCCCAGGGACAAAAATCAAGAATTTTAGTTCAGTTTCTGAACTGAATTCAGTTTCTTTTTAGACCAGAATTTATCTACTGTCTTATGAAGACCAGAAAATAAGGCTTTGAAGAAAGCAATGYTGTGATATGTAATTCCTCTTCACTCCTCAAAGAAAAGGCAGTTATTTTTAGCTTGTAAAAACAAGTGGTGGAATGTGGTAAGCTGTCAAGAATAAAGTGCATTAAATGCTTCTCAGTTAAATTTTCAAACATACACATTCAAACATTATTTCAATTTCAAATCAGAATATGAAGTGCTACACTTAGTAAACAAGTTATAAAAGAATACTTATGCCAACTGATTTTTTTTGGTTTTAATTACAGCATTGCCTAAGTGAGATATTCTGGTAAACCAACAGAGTCAATAAATAATAGTTTAGTCAAAAATATTAAAAGCCCTGAAAGAATATTAGGTGCCGAATACTGCACTCAACAAAAACAAGATTACTAGGAAAAAAAAAAGAAACAAAACCAGAAACAAACAAAAACAGGTAAAACTCTAGCTCTGCAACTGCAAATTCCTATAAGCAGACCTTATTTCCCCAAGCAATTTCACTGCAGCTAGGGGAGGTGCTTCTGTCCATATGGAATATGGAATGTCCTAAATTCTGAATTGTTTAAAATCTTCTATTGTTTCAAAGTCTGCAAGGCACAGACATCAGGCTTCATTTCTTGATTATCTTGAGGRTATTCAGTTGATGCTACAGGAAAGCCTAACCACATATATAACATACTGGARCATATTAATTACTAATAAGCTACAATGATGAGAAGTTGTTTCCTTTCTGCCCACTACTGTCTATATCRCACCAAACTTTATTGATGCTGCTCCAGTAACCCTGGAGTAAAATTATCACCAATAGCTAGCCCACTGATGGGATTTTTTATCCAGAAATCAAAATCTTTTACCCTTTCTAAGAAATAAAGACAATGAACATGGCATGGTTAAAAGAAAAAAAAAAAAAGCAAATTAATTTAGAATGAAATTCTACCTTCATGTACATTTTTTCTGATTGACTCAGTAAGAGCTAAGAGTGAAGATGTCAGAGAGGAGCATACCTGAGTATTCCTACAACTTCTTTTTCTTCATAAGTTCTTGGCAGAAGTTTTCTTCCATCTTTACCTATCTCAGACAAAATTAAAGAATTTGACCTTTCTTTCACAGGTGGGCTGTAGTAAAAGGGAAGAGTGGGATGATGTGTTTCAAACTCATCTGTGGAAGAAAAAGAACTAATGATTAATGCAATATTCCTTTCCTCTTTTATTCAATGTGATTGATCACAGGYTCCAATATATCTTGTTATCTAAAGACTTGAATAAATTTTGGAATAACACACTACAAATTTGATAATTGTGAAACTCTGACATTCTGGAAATCCTGTAACACGGATGCAGGTGCATATTACAGCAAAATTCACCTAAATGTAGAGGTTTGTAAAAGTCACATTGCTTTTCTTGCCATTCTCTTTAATYTAAACTAGTGATAACCGTAAGTAGTCAGAGTTAAATAACTGTCAATAAAATAATCCATTGCAAATGTAAGAAACAGTCTTCAATCTTTTAGCATTGGTATAACTAAGAAGATTAACATTTTTGCTTGTAAAATAATTATTTACTGTGGTGGAGTATATCCTGATAGAGAGGATAAAATCCCTTTGCCTTTCATTGCATATAATCCCCATGGGTGCAGACTGTAGCTGCTGAACAGTTTAATGAAGATCTGCAGGTCATAATGTAAAGCAGAATAATTCAACCCAACTGAAACAAAAGGCAGAGCTAATCACTATAGAGTTTCCTTCAACAGAATTTCTGAGAGAATTGAATATCAGTAGTCTCAAAAAAACAAACAAAACCAAACCCCAACACACCGATTTCTCAGTTACTGAAAAATGACTACCACAAACTTTCAAATATTATTTAAAAGAGAGTAACTTCAATTATATAGTTCTCCCTCATATCAATATTAGGATGGCAAAATACTGTTCTCACAACCATTGGCATTCACATGCTCCTTGCAAATACTGATCAGACGACAGCTTTCTTGGGGGTGAGACTGAAAGACTGAGTGTTTTTGACTTCATGCCTTCAGAATGACCTAATTTTTCTGAGATTTGATGAAATAAGATTTTGAGATGGTACGGCTATAAAGAATGTGTTGTCTCCCCAAAATTACACAGTTTATCTTGTGAAAAGAACAGTGAAGCAGTCTCCAATTTTTATTTTATAAATACCATTCAAATTATTGTCAATACTTTGTATTTTAATGTCTGTGTCCAGGTCTTCAAAAGGCAATGTCTTTCATGCTATTACAGTAGTGCATGTATCCTTTAGTCAAGAAATATTGCTAATTTCAATTCATTTTTTATTTTCAGTCCGTAGTGAACTCCATAAAAACAACAGCATTGATACTTTCAAAAATTCTCAAAGATCATTTCAGGTTTTCCTTGATTTTCAAAACTATTTTTTTTTCCTTTACAAACCTGTTGGCTTCTTCTTACCTGTTTAGACTTTTGCTTCCACAAGAGCTAAATTAACTAAATGAGCTAACTTCCAAGAACTGCACAGTACACAAATGGTATAATTCATGCAGATTTATCCTAGCACGCTCAGCACTTGTTAGGATTGTTAGGAAGCGAAAATGAATATTTACAAAGGTTTATTCAAGATGTTCTTGCTACTCCGTTCCATAAATCTGGAAGTTTGGGATAGGAAAAGGTGGGGGGGAAAGATGAAACAGAACTAAAATAAATTTTATATTATAAAAGGCTAATTTCATAATCCTGCATTTTGCGCTTACCATTAGCATTAGTCTCATTTCTACTTTAGATTGTGTTAGCTACTATTTTGTTGTTTGTATAATAATGTTTCTATAACAATCATGAAATAATTGATTAGTTTGCTTACAGAAACCTATATAGGCTGTGTGCTCATTCGTCATTCTTTCTTTGTTTTTTTTCCTGGCACATTTGGAGGCTTTCCAATTCATTAGGAATTGTCTTTCCATTTCTTTAATTTCTTTCCCATCAAGGGATTCTATAAAAGAAAAGAGAAAATTTTCTGTAATAGCAGAAGTTAACTAAAAGGCTATGTAATGTGCACTGGTTTTATATTTGTCTTTTTCAGGTCTCTTTTGCTCTTTTTAATCTTTCAGTAAGAAAATCTGATGATATTACAGCTTGGTATTCCTAATTTAATTAGTTGAAAGAATGAGCTGATTCTTGAATTACAAAAGAAAACATCTACTATTTTCATAGTTTTCAAAGGAAATATCTCAAATTCAGTTAAGATGCAATACTGTTTGTAGAAAGTTCAGATGAGGAAGTATGCTTTTACACAAGTATGTATAGGCACAGAAATTCAGGATAAGAGCTACTACTTACGGTAATAAGCATGAGAACGGTTAAAACTAATAGTAGGCAAAGCCGAGCAATAAAGCTTGTGTAGCTTGTTAGCCAAGGAGTTTTAGCTACATTAGTTGCACTAAACAAATTTTAAAAATCCATTATTGACATTACTGTGTAGGACAGTGCTTGCATGTGTAATACTGCAATTCAAGAACAGATAATGGGGCAGTTATTTCTAACATGCAGAGGGTTTTAAAGCCATGGCTGCACGTTTTTGGCTTGAATGTTGATTTTATTTTTTTTTACCTAAAGTTTGTGACTCTACTATAATYCTGTCCCTGTATTTTGGTCTGTGGCAAAGAGGGTTCCCTGTAAGATCCATGCTGCGTAGCTTGGTCCATTTGTTTAATACCACCTCCAAGTCCTGCAATTAAAAACAGAAGAGAATATTGTCATTCCAGGACAGAATTCAATGATTTGTTCAGTCAGGTCCAAATCTCGCAAACAGAAAAACCTTCCTGAGACCATTCAAGTGCAGAAATTAAGAATCTTCAGCATCCTCTGAGTGCATTGCAATTGCACAGAAGAAATGGTGATGCAACTGGAAAACGCTGTTTTTATGGATACAGTAAGGCTAGCTGTAAAAAATAAASTCTAATCCCACTCCAAAGCACCTAAAGCTGAAAGATCACCAGTTAAACCAGTTAAATGTTACTGTTTGATATAACTCTGTCAACAAATGGCTATAGTGTCACACAGCCCTTAGACTATCACAGTGTCTGATTAGATTTTGAAAAATTTGAGGAAGAATAAGTATTTTACATTGAAAAAAAATAGATTTAAAAAAGCTAAAAGTCCTGTAAAGTGCACTTAGCTCATTTTCTCTTTATATATAAATGTAAATTTGCATTTCATTTGAGAGGTAATAATTCCCCTTTTCCATGACCATGGGTGGTCAGTTATAGGTTTGGCCCAAATAGTGGAACTTTTGAGATATACTGTTCTCCATCTGTCTTTCCTTCTCATTACCCAAGGACAATATGACCTAGAGAAAACCTCCTCTGTCTTTTAAATATAGTAAATTCAAGTTAAAAGGATGCCAGGCATGAGAGATTGGTCTCTTCTACTAAGATACCCAACTTCATGAAATATGCTTTTCAAAATTCACTTGACTGTCATTCTTGATACACTACCTTACATGTGCATAAAGTTTCAGAAAGGATTCAAAACAATCTGTTTGTGTGTGAAAGGAGAGACAGATTGAAATAACTTATGCTCTCCAGTCGTAATAAATTTGAAAAAATCTACTGATCATGATGTGACCAATTCTAAACTGTGAAGTCTGTAGAGTTTCACAGCCAGAGTTTGATGCCAGAAATGAAATAACTGTGGATGTGAATTTGCCAGTTTTGCTATCTCTACTCTCTTGGTAGAGAATACTCTGTAGAAAACTACGGATTATGTCATACCTATTTGGAAAACAGACAGAAAGGAAGTGGCAGTGCAGCCTCACATCTCCAAACAATGATCCAAAGATGACAATGCCTTTTTAGAAAAATATGATGTGAAAGTCTGGTTCTATGAAGAAAAAGACTGATAAAAAACAGGAAATTCCTGAAGACCAGTCTACTTGGAGGTGTGTTGATAGATASCATAATATGGCACAATAGAACTTTACTAGCATATATCAGAATAGCAATAGCACACAACTAAGGTGCTTACACCACAAACAATTTAGACGAAAAGATATTTTAGGCTAAGGTAGTATAGAAATAAAAGCATTTAGCAAGCATGATTATTTTTTATTCTTACCTGGACAGTCAGACATTGCCATTAAAATCTATAATGATATCTAGATTTCATTAGAAAGATTTTTTCAAGTAATAGTTTTGGAATACAAAATTATCTGTTACTGAAACATAAASTGTACAGTTTAACTTTGATGAACGTATACAAAGAGCTCCATAGATTTTTGTTAGCTGTTACTTAGTTGATAAATGACCCAGAACATGCTTACTCCAGTGTATGTTTATCTAAGCCCACACTAATCCTGTGCTGAAATATGATTACCCTTTCGATACGCTCTAGTTGTTCATTGCCTTCCTGTCTCTAATAAAGCGCTTTTCCTTCCCAGCCTTTCAATACACTGCACTAAAGGGACCAGACACTTTTCTGGGCAGTCTCCGTTTGATAAATGATCATGTCATGCTATCACTCCGAGGCCTGCTCCAAAATACTGACGAGCAAATTATATTCCATCTACGGAGGGAGAGGGGGAAGGGCCACTGTGTTAGCAGGCAGCTGTAGCACTGGCGCTAGCGTTCGTCACAATTAACGATGGTCATTTAAGAATTGGTATTTGACCAGTAGGAGCCAGTTTTTATTGGAAATGTCTAGTCCAACTGCCCTAACTACATCTACAGACAGCAATTTGTCACCATTTTGAGTACCTGTCATAATCTGTTTGCAAAAATCTATACCTTTTCTCTTGTTCCTGACTGAATTCTGAAGTGAGTGAATTCATCTTTTTTGATATCCTTTTGTCATAATCAATACTGGGCAGAGGTTGAATAAATTAAAGACTTAGGAAATATAGGTTTTTATAGGTATTTCTAGCTATATTTTCTCTGTCTATCCAAGCAGTAATGTAAGTCATAGTCTGCCTGAATACAACTGAAAAAAACCCAACCCTAACATTAATAGGGTAGTTTTTTTCAGAATTGAAAAAAAAAATCTTTTTAATATTTCTACCAAATATACAGCACTCTCAAAGTTCTTGTGAACTCAAATAATGTAAATAACAAGAAGCACGATAGGATAAAATATATGAAGTAACAAGCAGTAGAAAACAAGGCAAAGCTACTCCTATTAAAATGACTTATATTCCCCATAGCTCGCATAAGACATGCATTTTATGTGTGGTACCTAGTTACAGTAAGTCGTTTTGCATGGACTGAGAAAAAATAACTAATTTCTGTTCTCTCTACCACTCAGACTGGATCACAGAAAATTGAGCACAGAAACAAGCTCTGATGCCTGCTAGTTATCTAGCAGTGCCCTGAAGCAGCCAGAACCTCAGGTGCATTATTTCTCTAGCCCTAATTTTCAGCTATGCTGAAACTAGCCCAGCATGGCTGAAGAATGAGGGAGAATGGGTTCATACAACGGTGTGAAAAAAAGAATGAGACAGATATTTCAAAGTAACTACAGTTTACACAGATGACACAKGAGCAAGAAAAGCATACACAGGCCGCTTGTACTCTATGCATTTGTTATGCCTTCCACAGTGCTCACTTGAGCCTGGATTGTGCTGTTCTCCCTGCYCTGTCCCTGTGCTGCACAGGTCACTGCTGCTGTGGCCAGCCCCGCTGAGAGCGGGACAGMCTCTCTGCAGCCGCTCTTCCTCCCCTGGCACCGGCAAAGCAGGCCTGGGTGCACAGGCTGCCGTCCAAAGCCCAACRTTCCTAGGATGTTCTGGATGGCACTGGGAGCACTGAAAGCAGGAGGGGAGCAGGAATGGGAAAACAGGGGCCTTGCTGCTTTTAACAGGAAAAAAGAGGTGTACTTCAGAGTTTTGAAAGTAGAGGGATGGCAGTGAGGGACTTGGACCTGTGTGAGTATGAAATAGCCCTTGGTGCTTGGAACAAGCGCAGTTTATAGAAGCAATCAGGTGTATCTGGTACAATAACAGTGTATCTCCTAATACGGTTTTTACTGTCGCAGTTGTAGAATAACATAAGCCAGGGAATCCTGAAACTCAGGGTTGCAAAAAATCTGAAATACAATCAAAATGTCCCTTGACCTTTTTTCTTTCAGTTATTGGATGTATAAGATTATTCTCCTGCTAGATATTTACTTTAAGTTAAAGAGAAAAAAATTATCACTTCTTTATACTTCGCCTGCCCTATTGCTTTTTAACTTTTTTATTATTATTATTTGAGAATTTATATTAGCGTTAAGCAGAGCCTACTACAACATAATAAACCAAAGTATAGCTGCAAAGGTGGATACTCAACTCTGACACATGTTTAATATGGTCTTTAGTTTTATAGTCCTGCAAGAATATGACTAGGAGCAGTCTAGCTGCTGTTTTTTCCTCAGTTACTGAATCATTAAAAATGCTGTTTTTAAACCTTCATCCTCATTCTTAATATAAACTGGCTCTTTGGATAAAACAGTTCTCTTAAGAATATCATAATTGAAATATTTTGTATTTATAGGGAAAAAAAAAAACAGTTAAAAATCCCTGTGATAGGATAAAAGCAAATTGAAATTAAAATAATTCCAAGTCTGGGTTAAGGATTTTTAATATATTTCAGTATTTTAAATATAAAATGAACATTTATGTCTATTAAAATGTTAAAGGAATCAAGMCACTAAATCAAAAGATCCTGGAAGCAGGGCTTGATAAAGTGTTGGTGTCATATTCTGAAGACTGGTCAGTTCAGAAAAAAAATGTATTCTTCATCTAGTATCTTCAGTACTACKAGCTACACTACTTATGATTAGCGCAGTTCTAAAATCAATTACCAGAAATCTTTTCATATTCCTTATTAAAGATACTTCTTTAAAAAAGAGGCTACATATTAAAAGAGCAAAATGTTATTGTAATGTAATCTATACATTTAAATACAGTTTTAAGTACCTAATAAAAGACAATTTGAATTGTATTTGTATATGAATTCAAACATAACTTCCAGCTAGACACACAGATTGAAATACATTATAAATACATTGATAATTCTCTAGTAATAAATAAAAGCATCATTCAACATTTTAATTATTAAAATGTTAAAAATTAAGAATCCAAATAAAGTATACTGACCTAGATAACTACTAAAACATGCACACAGATCACTGGATTCTCCTCATTAGTAAACATAACTGCCAAATTTAATATAAAAGATGCAAAGCATTCTAATAAGTAACAGCATTAAGTGTTTTAATAACTACTGAGCAATTAAAATTAACTTTTCCAAGGAAACAGGATACATATACAAAACAGTAATAAAATAGTTTATTTTAGTAAAGGCTTTTTCTTGCTGGTTTGTATTACAATTCAAGCCAATTCACTCTGACATTTATTAATAAAAAGATCCATTTCAAAATCAAGTAAAGCAGTGATTCTCATGGTTATATGAAAAGCACACAGCATAAGGAATCATTTATACAGTTTTTTCTTGCTTGCTCTCACTGTGTAAAGGCTGTGGCAGCTCGTCGTTCAGTGTAAACGCAATATTCAACTACCAGTAGCAAGAGACTCAAAATATTTTTTAATTTCTGTGTTCTTAATGTCGACAAGTAGAAAACATCCTAACACATAGAATCTACTCTTGTTCCCTGTTTGAATAGAGAAACTGGAAATTATATATCCAGAACATTCTCTTACTCTCATTCTCTGGTTACATTCACTGCTGAGAAAGGAAGAGTAGAAAGACTCATGTTGCATTTTTAGCTATTATTTTATAAGTGTGAGCCCTTGCTTATGAAGGTCTGCCTTTCCTTAACAGACATTTATGAAAGGAATGCAGTTTCTGCTTTCAAAACCRACACATCTTAGGCTACTCTAGCAATAATATCCAGAAAAGTCATATTAATATGAGAACAACTGAACAATCAACTATATATATGATGSAATATCCAAGAAATGCCTTTTATTTATGTTAAAATAGAAAAGTAAAAATTGTAATGTGGTAAAATTAATTAACAATGGTACTGCATTCTTTGCAAATATTTCTATTGCTAGTCACCCAAACGGCCAAAGCACACACACCGGCTCTGCCTCTGCATAGGCTCTCACTAACCGTAAAGTGCGTTTGTACTCATCTATCTAGTGAATTTGACTATTATGAATCTGAATATTTTGTTATCACTTATACCAAACAGAACAAATATTTATTTTAATACCTTCATATTTTGAAGCTGATTGTCAACTGCTGTAAGGTGGGAAATATTCTCCAAAACTGCTAACTCTGCCAGTTCGTCAATGTTGTTTCTGCTGATATTCAACACAGACAAGGATTTCTGGGAGAAAAACAGTACAGAAAGAAAATGATTTTTTCCCCACATTGTGCATGAGTCAAGTGGTAAATTCTTATCAAAAAGGCCCCTAAAGAAAGAACAAATACATAAAGCAAAACCACAAAAGCAGAACTACCTCATTCATTACACAGTTTTATGTTGGCTTTGCATGTTGTCCTAAAATTTTGTAAGATTATTTCTCAAATTATTTCATGATTTCTTAATAGATACGGAATTTTTCATCTAWTCATGATCAAATTCTTCACAAAATTTTCCAAGTGCATCTTGACTCTTTCAGGACAGAAAGTAAATGTATTGTAGGAACACTTATCTAGTTACATTCTAGATAGAGGTACATGTGTTTCAGGTGGTTTTGTAATGTGGTTTTGTGTAAAAAGAATAGGAAGTTTATAACATCTGTAGAAAATGGAAAGAGGCATCTATGATGGCAAGTTTAGAATTATACCAGATTTGGGACTTATCATTGGTTAAACAAAGTCATTATCTTCAGCACTAAGTAAAAGCCAGGAATAATAAAATGGTGTTGAGTTTAAGTCAGGATGCTGTAAAACATTTAAATATACGAATTATCCTCCTGGGAAAATGTTATCTGTATAACCTCCTTCTATTAATCCAAGCTAGAGCAATGCAAGTGCTGTTTCAGGATGGCTCTTTTCTAATAAAGGAAAATAGCAAGTCGTGCCTTGGATTAATTCATCTCAAAACAGCAAGAATTAGAGTTGCTCAAGTGCTATGATATAAAAATAAACAGAAGAATTCCCCTTTGAGTAAAYATTCTCTGTTCATCCTCACAAAACAGTTTATCAAGCTCTGAATAAATTTTGAGAAATACAGCAAGACAGACTTCTGTATTATAGAACTACATTCATGAGTAAATGCAGTCTCRAACATTTTAAACACTTGAACAGTTTATTTGGAGTTTACTAAACAATKAATATGATCAATAAATACTTCAAAAGCTGCCTTTCCTGAAATGTTGATATACCACAACATAGTATAACAGTGGAACTAATTCAGGTGACTTATCCTTAAAATAATGATCTATTGGTTGATAGTCCTTTGAAAAAATCTCTAAACATTCTTACCGCAAGTGAAGTGAGAGATCTTGGATCAAACAGAAGCTTTTCACCAGGAGGGAGATGTTGACTTTCAATATGTAGCTCCCTTATTTCCTCCAATTTATCCAATCCCTCTACTACTGTGATGCAATTACCCCCCAAATACCTGCAAGATAGAATAGAGTTTTAATATCCTTTGAAAGCAAAAGCTAAGACAAGTTTTATTACAAACAAAACAAACAAAATCAGTATTAGTGAATAATATCTGATAATTATAATAGATTAACTGAACATACAAGGAAAACACAGCATGATCCAAATCTTGTTTTAAAGCTTTTCTGATATACCTATATTATTACTATTATTAAATGACTGAAAAAAAATCAAGTGCAAGTATGTTAGGATGATACATATTTAAAATCATAGAACACTTGATTATCAATCATATAATTATTTTTATTTGAATGGCAAATTTTAACATCTAAAWGGATTTTAATAGGTTTAAATTTCTTAGTGTAACAATTATTTTCATACTAGTGAAACAAGATATGTGATTTTCAACTTACAGTTTTTCAAGATGTTTAAGTGATGAGAGATTTTCTATACATGAAATACAATTGTTTTGCAGGTATAAGTGTGTTAAATTTGTAGCAAAGTCCAAGTTCTGTATTTGACTGATGTGGTTATCATATAAATATAGAACTCTAAGATTTCTGCACAAAGAAAGATCACCCTGAAATAAACAGCAACAAATCAATGCTATAGAAAATTCACTCATTATCAACTTCTAGAAACTATTACTTTCTTTTGCATTTAAGTCTTACTGTATGACAGATGTACTTTCATCTTGAATAAACATTTATAACAACTATTTTTACCAAAAAAAATGAATTAGAATCAGAATTTACACAGGTTAAAACTAAATTTTGTCACTAACTTTTTGCTGTAGAGAAGCTGAGAACTACTGCCACAGGTAAATCATAGCCCAGGTGATTCCATTCCTTTCCCTGCCTCCTTGAGGTAAATCCCAGAGAATCACAACTGTTCAGTGCACTTCTCATCAGTGTTTAATACTTCCCTGATGTGCTGGAAAGCAGTTTTTGGCAAAGAAATAATGACTTATGCAAAAACTTGTACATTGATGTATTTTAATAGACACCCAATTTTAAGATTTAACTGAAATTAGTCACATTTCTTTGAAATGTATTCTCCTTAAATAAGTGAAGTAGCATGTTCTTATTATTTTAAAGCTACTACCACCTCGATATATAATAAACTAGTCCTAATCAAATGTATTAACCAAATTAACTCACTATGCAAATATTCCTAGAAGTGGGCTGAACAACTGTGTGCTTACATGGATCTGTTCCCATGAAACTAAGAAGGGCTCCTATCTTCATGGCCAAAAAAATCACACTCTTGTTTTTCTATTAGAAAAACATCATATAGTTCAGTTGTTCAGGGGTTAGTGATTTTAAAATATGTTCAGGATCTTTAGGGAATTTGAACTACACCAGGACTTACTGAAACCTGTACAAATTTCCTTTTATTTAGCTCAACAGGAGGAGGACTGGGTTAAGCTTGAAGGTTTAGTCTTTGAAAATGAAAACCTCATGATTTATTTTTAAAATGAACAAGCCCCAGGGAACAATTTTATTAACAAATGTAGAGTGTAACCTGTATAATTTGAAATGCCACTACTCCAGTCCAAATTTGTTAATCTCACTTGGCATATATCCTGTTCCTGAACTCTCCTTTGCTTTCTCAGACTTCCTCAGAAATGTAAGGAATAAATCACAGACTGAAGAGATTCTGCTGCAAGTTAACAGCTTTTGGTAAAATTCCCAAGAATGGATGAAATATGGCATTAAAGAGGACAAAATAAGTTTGCACTAAGGAGTATCTAACAGGACACTAATAGGAGAGTCACTACCTCCTCCTTGAAGTAATGAAAAATCTGWCCAGCAAAATTACTAGTTCCTCCTATCTCCTTCCATGCCATAGTTCATATTTTCATAAGGTAACCGTTAGTAACTAGAAATTGATAAAACAAACTCAGAATATCAGTGAAAATCCAAATGTTGTTTTTAATATTGGACCTAAAACCTCCAAGAACCACATCCCTCGACATATTGCYATGGTGAGAGTACCCATTCTTTTAAGTCCTGCAACTACTGATTGAATGCCARTAACCTGGCTATAATTTATGGGGAGAAGCATCAGGTCTAAATGATTAAATTGAGATGCTCTCTTTCACAGTAGAGAGCATTTCGTTCTGTTGGTTCTCTGAAAGAGCATTTACAATGTAGCAACTGTATCAAATGGTCAAAATAGCAAATTGTTCACATTTTTAAAAAAGTTGTAGATATGTGAACTAGTCCTGTGAAATTCTGAAAAAAAAAAATCACTTTAATATTTCAGTTCACCTCTTGTGTAATTACTTACATGGAGTTTCTTTTTTAAAATGAATGGCAATATCTGCTTGTTAGTGTTGATAACATCTTGCCTGTCTGCTATGTAGACAACTGTCKATTTCTACTCTACTCTATTCTATTCTATTTCTTTCAGGTACATAAAATTCTTCAACAAGATTTTTGCTAAACAAAAAWTATTGGGTCAATAGTAACCAGCTCTGGAGACAGTTGGAAGTCACCAGCTTTGACGCTTTATGTGAAATGTAACAGCAGAAAAATTATTTTCACATTTCAAAAATGCATGGATCTAAAATGCATTTGTGTACTGTTGGTACAAGTAGTTTTTCACACAAATACAGTACTTTAAGAAGCAAATGCTGAAGCATATTTCCAAACACAAGTGTTTTTAAAGCTTGAATGCAAATACRTATGTTATAAAATATTAGAAAATATAAACTTGGCTTGCTTTTCTCTCCCAACTATAAAAAAAGAAAAAAAAATCAGAATAGCAAGTACATTTGCCAAACTAAAAATGAAATAAAGAGAAATGAATCTTACAATTGTATCTATATTTTTATCTGCTAAATTCAGATGTGTTACTCTTCGCAGATACTGTGCAAAGGGCTCTTCTTTGGCATTCTTGCGACTGATACTTTTTGCAATGAGGTGCATTGTTAGTTGGACCATAATTCTGCAGCAGGCCAAATTGTTACACTTTTTAATATCTCAGAGGGTATTCCATCCGTTCTTCTCCGTATTTTCCTAAAATGCTTTAAAAACAAAAAGCAAATAAAGTTATACTGCTTGCACCTCAGTGCTCCAAGCAAGCTTTGGTATACTCCACCCAACCTCAAGTTTTACCCCCAGTCCCATTTTGCTCACTTTGACAAATATATTATGCTCTTTGCATACCCTCTCACTACTTGCAAGCTCCTTTTTTACATTCAGCACAATTACAACACATCTCATGCGCTTTCTTTTTTTTTTTCAGTTTGCTTAAGAGAGTTGTACCTTAATATTTCTTGGCCATTTTTTTATRTAGATATATACACAGTGGTATGCACAGGAAATAATTCTCACACAATAATTAACAGCAGCTCATAACCTAACTGTTTTTTAAAAGTGTATTTCCGTAGCGGGTTTTAACCTGCACCAAAGCACACTGCTTCAGGTGAGTTTAAAGATTYGATGAGGAGTAGGAGAGGTGATGTGTATTTTGAAGGTTAAAAATACCCTAGCAAATGTAACTTAACAGTGCAGAATGAAAAGGTTGCTTTTAAGTCAGGCCGCAACACAGCCCTTTAAAACAAAATGAAATATCACACAGAGGCACAAAGCAGGTGCATACCCTGAGCCAGGGCACACAGAACCCACCTCACATCTGAGAGGCTGAGGGAAAGCAGATATTAAAACCATAAAGGCAAATGAACCATCACTGCTACGCGAGACTGGACTGAGTAGCCGACCCACCCTCGTACCCCGCGGCACCAACGGCTTCAACGGCTTCAACGGCTTCAACGGCTCCAACGGCCGTTCCCGCCCCCGCCCTCACCTCGCGCCCGCGGCGACCAGGGGAGAGTGCGAGTACCGCGGCCGGTTGCCCGGGCAACGGAACGCCAAGGGCGGGGGCGCGCGCCCCAGCCTTCCAATCAGCGCTGCGGGCGGAGAAGGGCGGGAGGGGCCGCGCGCAGCAGCCGTTGGGCGGAGCCGGGGTGGGGGGGAGCGCCGAAATGGCCGCCCGGGGGCCTCAGGGGCGCCCCTTGCAGGTCCCCTTCGGTTATGAAGGCGGCAGCCTACACAACGCTACGTGTCCTTAGGCTGTGTATACCCAAGGGTTTTCCACCTGCTCCCACTTCTTGGTGCGTGCCAGCCACTACTATGGGCACAAATTCCTGACAAAAACAAACACTGGGGTTCTCCCAACCTGCAATTTCCTATATCTGCCTCTCCATGGATAGGGAAGATCATAAGGTGACCGTATGTCTTCAGTGGAATCCAAACTCACTGCGGCCTTGACCTGCTTGTTCTGGGAAATGTTTCTGTAAAAAAAATATTAACAGTAATTTTGGTCTCAGTTTGTTCCCCCTCATGGCTGTAGATTTTGCAGGTGTCTAGGGCCCTCTGTTAGTAGTTTGATTTAAAGGAAGAAAAAGCTATGAGACGTTTCAGAGAAAATATTTACTAAGGTTTGAAAGAGGATTCTTGTCTAGTGGCACAGAGTATTAAATGGTCATCTGTGTACTCTCCAGTGTGGCAGAAATTTGGCTGAGCACAAAAAATCCTCGTCTTCAAGAAAACTCTTGGAAATACCTGTATAAAATCATCGATGACTATATTTCTTACAGTTCTGGACAGGAACACTGAACTGAAATGTAGTTCAAGTACATAAAACACATGAAGAGCCTCCCCTGCATCAACAAGAACATGCCTTTTGTGTGATAAGAATTCCGAGTATGGAAAGGGGTATGGCATAAAATGAAGAAGAAAACCATGTCTTTAGAAGATATTAATATGTCTAACTGTAAACTGGTAAATTCAAATTCTGACAAACTTTTTAAAGGACATGTTTCAAACTTTTTTATATTGTATCAGGTAAAATTCTTCCTGAACATCTTGCTCTCCTGTGGCTAGGCAAGTACATAAAATGGAATCCACACAGTTATTACAGCATAGCTGTTTAATTGAGTACAGCATAAAACATATTTCTGAAACAATTAACTTTCCTCCTTGACTTTAAACATAGGTTTTCCTTCTGTGCTCTTGAAGGTAGTAAACATAAGGTTCTCAAAAGCTCACGCTGATCAGATAGTGCATTAGTTTTAACAAACTTCGTAGACAGCTGCTCCGAAATGTGGGGTTTTTTTTATTTAAATAAATCTACAATTAGTAAAGTTTTATGTTTTTACCCTTGTTTTTAAGGGCCATGGTACTTATATGCTCTTGCTGTATCTGGCTGTATGTACTGCCTGGTAACTTGTAAGCCAAACTATGGTGGAAGGAGGCAAAAGGCAGAGGCACAGGGAGATGAACAATTTGATTATTCTTTATAAAAATCAACAGCCAAATAGAAAAGAGATTCCTAAACCAGCATCTTCCTTTAAGGGAGGGATGGAAATGCAAGCTGAAGGCTACCTGTGTGTCTGGTCTGGCCTGGACATGCACTGATGGGCAAATTGGCTTCTCTCTGTCATGCATCCTGCTACCTTCACTTGATGAAGACGTGGGAGCTACAAAGGAGGGGAGCAGCAGTGTGGAGGGGGTGCCGAGAGATGTGGGGAAGAGGTGCAGAGGTGGCATCAGCCGAGGTTTAGACTCCTYTCCATGAGGAGTAGGAGGTCACAGGAGACTAGGAGTAATGGGAAGGAGAGGATGAAGAATGGCAGGGTGTGAAGAAGATGAGTTGGACTCGGTGGTGCCCAGTGACAGGACAAGAGTCAGTGAGCACAAACTGAACATAAGAATTTCCACCTGAGCGTAAAAAGAAAGAAAATTATAATAAAAATTAAAAAAGGACCCACCTTCATTTTACTGTGAAGGTAACAGTGCGCTAGATGGGATGCCCAAAGGAGTCTCCAYCCATGGAGATACCCAAGCCCGGCTGGACACAGTTCCGGGCAATGTGTGCCAAGGGCTGTGTGAGCAGGGGGTTCRTCAGACGATCTCCAGAGAGCCCTCCCAGCCTCATCTGCCCTGTGACTCCATCATTATTTCTGCTGCTCAAAAATAGTTTTAGTAAATACTCAATTTCTCAGTACCTAAGCTTTGTCTGCATAACAACATACCTCTGAAATACGTATATTCTGGTATAACTCTGCATGTCCTTATTTTTATTTGGGGAATGGCTTAGGTAAGACAGGTATCTGCAGTAGTTGCTTACGTAAAGCCCTAAGTTTGCATGTGGTGTTTCAAGTTCTTAGTCTGTTGTCCGACAGCTCCTTGACAGCACTCCCTGGATCCCGCATGTGCTGCTTTCCCTGCTCTCCACACACAACTCACATCCTCACGACAGCGACCTTCATGTTTTTCCTCGGCTTGGATAAACACTTCAGATCTTACCGACTGCTCTTACCCAAGCCTAGACAAAAGCTAAGCTGGGACAGAAGATTGCTGACATCCTTCAAACAAGGCAGGTAGCAGACTTGCTATCACAAAAATTTCTAAAAATGATGCTAAGATGAAGTTTAAAATATAAATAAATAGATAAACAAATAGATCCAACACCACACAAAGCCAGAAGCCTAACTTGGATAATTTTGTTTATAAAATCTAAGATCTAGTTTATAAAACCTAAGATCTAGTATAAAAGTATTATTGGTGTCAATATTATTGACTATATTAATATTGTTGGCCTTTCTGACTTTGGCCTACCATTGTTACCTGTATTATTTAATTTTAGTACAGAATTATTGGTTTTTCAGCATTTATTTGTCAACTGCTTTATAGGCTGGATGATTATTAGCACAATTATTCCTCTGTCCTTGTACATAGATGTTAACAAAATGTTAAACTTGTTTGTCTGTGGCTGCTGTTTTGCATAAGGAACTGTTTGGGTTTTTTTCTACTGTGAATTTTACCTAGTTGTCATAAGGARGATTTTTAAAATTGAAAAGGAGTGTATTCCACAAAAGCAAACGCCTTCCTTAGTAAACAATTACAAATTTAAGCTTAATTCTAACCTGTAGTTATGTAGTAAGTTAATGCAACTTGGGGAAGAAAAAAGAAAGTTCAGATGGTTGTAATTACTAAGGCTTGCCTGCCATTAGATGCAGGCACATAAATTAATTTCCGTTTTTAATGAAGTAATGCCACTGCAGTTATGCACAAGCCCTAAGGTGATTGGGTCTGGAACAGAGAAATTCACACAGGAAATGATGGACAAATTACATAGGAGTTGAATGCATGTTTCACTTGAAAATTAAGAGTTCCTAAAAACAACATTGTTGTAATCCCCTCTAAGGGCTGAAGCATTTCCTATCTGTGATGAACCAAACAGACAAATTACACAAAACCTACTAAATATTCATTGCTAGCAGTTATTAAGCCTTGCTATTTAGGGTGGCAATGTCTGACTGGCTGGATACGCAGAGACCTCTAGTACATAAAAGTGGTAATATACATCCCTTCCATCTGTGTTTTTGCAAGGGTAATGATCAATGTCACTATTTCATGTAGACAAAAGCAGCTCGTGCACAGGTAAAAATACCTGGCTGAAGTTTACACGCTCCTGCCTTGGGAAAGGCAGGAAGAAAACCCTGTTCTCGCGAGGCCGTGCGCTGTGACCCATCCGCAGGGCTGTGCTGCTTCCCAGAACACTGGAGTTTTCACAAAGGCCTGTATGGAGCAATTTTTCATAACTAAAAACAAACCAAACGTCACAGCAAATATTTCATATGTTAGCAGTTACATCTGAGAGCTAAAATCTACTTTCCTAAATTGCCTATTTCCCCCGGGTCTTATTTCTAGGCTCTGAAAAGTATGACTCTTGCTCATAAATAAATACACCCTGGGGAACAAGTTGGTTAATTAACTCCTTAAAGATTTAGCATATTTAAGTACAGAAAAATCTCCACAACACTCAAGCTGACTGGAGACACTCTGATGTCATTCATCAAGACTTAAACAATTAAAAAAAMCAATCCTATATGCACGCAATTAATCTCACACATTATCACTCCATATTTTAGTCATTTTCACCTCTTAAGCACTTGTACCCTTAAAAAATGTTAACTCAGCTCTATAATTACACCTTTTTTTTTTTTTCTATTCATAGGTATTTGAAGGTATTTGTTTTTATTATTTTAACATAGTTTATGGTACCACACAGCAGATTTTGTATACAGGGCTTTCAATAAATATAATGCTTAACATGAGCATGATGAGACTATTTGAGACTATTTAAATGAGACCATTTAATGAAACAATTTAAATGAAACAATTCTGCCCAGGACTACTTGGAGTACAGCAGTAAAATAAGTAAAATAATAATATGCTTATCAAAGAGAAAGCAGCATGGGAAAGGAAAGCAAAGGAAAGCAGCAAAGGACAGAGAGTATCAGGTTAATAAATTTTGATTATATTTATTTTAACTTTATAAGAAGATACTAACATCAACAACTAGCTTTATATTTTCTTCTAGGCAACATTTCCTAAAGTATCTTGGATGCACAGGAAATTTGAGAAATAAAAGTACAAGAGTGTTCTTGCTTACGTAAACAGGTAGCTCAGATATTCCATGTAATACAATGATTGTTAGGCCCTGTATTGAATTATGAAGATCCATGGTTACACTTTATTATACTGCACAACATTCTGCACTTTGACTTTCTTGTCCAAATGCTAAGTCCATGTGTTATTAAACAGTAAACTCTTGCAGTAAACTCTTCTCCAGCATGAGTACGTTGGTCACAAAACCTCCGACAACAACCTTTGGTTTTGGAATTGAAGATAGCTATATATGCCTCGGTTTGCAGCTAGTAAACTTGGGTCTCCTGCATAGTCAAATACCGTTCTGATGGTGAAGAGCTCCAAAATGATCTCACAAAACTGCACAGGCAAAGCTGTGATAAAGGAGCTTCAAGGTAGACAGATGTAAAGTAAATACCCCTAGGCAAAACCCAAGCTGTGCCTCCACAATGCTTCCCAGAGGTGGAATTACCAAGTGCAAGTTACACATTTCTTAAATTTCCCTGGACAGATCTCTACGGTTCTGGACAAGTCTCATCAGCCCAACCTGTGGTGCCAACCCAATAAACCAAGGAAAGTTACTTTATTGAGGGCTGCGGGCAAATACCTAGAAACTGTTGCAGTAGATTAACCTTAAAAAAAGGGTTAAACAAATTCCAGGAGAACACATCCATTCAGGAATAATACTAATATCCATCCAGGAATAATAGTAAGAGGACCAGTCAGCGATGTCCCCATTGAAGTGCCTGGTTGATAGAGTAAMAGGGGAGCAGGAAGAGGCCAGGCCCAAATGTCACTTCTTAGCACCTACCTGAAGGGAAGTTCAAAGCAGGTTTGACAGGACTTGAAAAAAGCTTTGAGCACCTCAGTAAAAACAGAATCAATCTGAAGGGCTCCTTTTCAGCTGCATATAAAGGTCAAATTAGTACTCTAGCAGAAACATCTTAGTCTGTGGTATTGATAGTTGTGCTACAAATATTTTTTTTTCCTATGGAATTTCATTTGAGCTTAGATTGTATAAATTCTTCTGCAGTGTAGAACGCACAGATCAGAAACAACCTGAGGGTGGCTGCGGAAAAAAAGGAACAGAAGGGTAGAAGAGAGAGGATGTGCAAAACATTTACTTTCAGTAATGTAAGTAAACTGTAGTATCCATTGCAAACACTGTTAGATGAAGAAATTAACTGTAGTCATCAACTGTGATTTGACACTTGGAATTTCTGTGTGCGTGTTTGTCCCAAAATCAGCATAAATATTTGCACATGATTGATCATGTACTGACTGACTTTGGCTGTCAAAATACTTACCTGATTCATGGCACTCATTTGTATAAACTACTAAACTCTAAATAAATAGAGAATGAGTGCAAATGCAGAGGACTGAATTCTCATATGTCTATAGAGTTGACAGACAACATTTCATTGCCAAGAACACTTTTATTCCTTTTTTTTCCCCCGGTTTCCACACTGTTTGGTGGAAATATGATGCCTTTGYTTTGACTTAATGAATCCGCTGTTCAGAATATACTTCTCTTTATTCCTCTGTATGTGACAGATGAGTCTTTTGAGGTGGCCACCTTCAATAAATGCAATTTGGAGCTCAGGAAAAGCAGAATTTGGAACAGTCTTAACATTAAAAATGGTTGACCAAGACCAAGGACGTTATCTCAGTTCCTGAATGCTGCAAGATGGATCTAATACAAGGTACATATATAGCCAAACTACACACACAATTTTAAATGTATTTATAAGGCTATGTGCTCAGCAGGCTGCAACACAAGTAACTTAATGGTTAACTGTGTACATCAGTATTTGGGCAAATTCACGTTGCTACGGTTGATAAAACATTTTGACACGTTAAAGCCAAGTGTACCTAAAAACAAGACTGAGTGCATGACGTTTCAGTTCCTTGCCGTCATAGACAAGAACAGCTTACATGTGCTGAATAAACAAACACATAATTTAAATTATTGTGTTAATATTTCTGCTAGATACCTAAAGTGTCCAAGCATTTTGGATCACATCATGCAAACAGAAAACAACRAGGTGGCAACTTGGGTTGTATTTCCAGACGCATATTTATCTCATTAAAGCTGTAGATTTCTCAAATTTTAATTACTGCTCTGTATAAATGTATAGAGGAACAAAGGCTGTATGCTAATATTTAATGTCATAAATTATTTAAAGTCTCACAAACTCCTTTAGAATAAGGAAGCATAAAATTGTTGTTCTATCAAACTTCAAAATTGATACATTTCATTCTACTTAAATTACCTCAAGTCCAAACTTCACTAGATCCAATTAAACGCATTTTTTTTCCTATCTATTGGATGCTGCTACTTTAAAGCTACTGACAAATTTCTGCTCCAGGGTGTCTGCATTTCCTTGCTGAATGACACATTCTACTCTAACTTGCATACGAGCTTCAAATACACTGGGATCTACTTGGATGAAAAGCACCAAATGAGTAATAGCTATTAAAATTTCCAGACCAAAACAAAAACAAAACCCACATCAAGGCAAAGTTAAGGCTGAAAGGATATATCAGTTACTTAGTGCATAAAGCATAATGGCATATTGTATAAAGCATGTTATAAATGACCCCCAAAACAAACATTCCAAAACCCAGGAAACTCAGACTTAAGAATAAAAACTTARAACAACTCCAAACATACCGAATTACTGAAATGCAGCACAAAAGCCTCCACAACAAATTCAACTCAGCCCTGCAGCAACACTGTCCTGTAAGCCAACAATTGTGATTAATGCATTTTATTATCTATTTTTAGGTAACTTGCAGAGATACTAATTTTCCTTTTCCTTCCTTTGCATGCGACAAGTGAAAATAAATGGCAATGGAAGGTGAGCAGGAAAAAAAAAGTAAAATTATTATTAGTTTCATAATTTCACCCTGGAATAGTTATTTGACTACATAAAAATATGAAATGTTCATTGTAATTGTGAAGCTGCAAGTAAATATCGTTGTACTGGGCCTGAACGCTCATGTGCTCAGTCCTTAGGGCRAGAACTGGTCCCCTGGGACAGCATCCAGAGTGCTGTCCCAGAGCACTTTACTAAAAGCAAAGGCAGGATGGATGGCTCCATGGCATGTAGAAACCTCTCAGAGGCCAACATAAGTGGATTTCAATTCTTTAAATGGAGATATGAACATCTGAGAAACAAATTTCTTAGACTGTGCACAGATTACCCAACTACCTGAACAAAACTTTTCTATGGAACAGTAAGAAAATGAGTGACAGAAGACAAATGTTTGCCACAAAATTCAACCTCCCAAACACTTGCTCCTTTTTATTTATTTATTTATTGCAGACAGGCAGTAGAGATAAATACCTAAGAGCAAAAAACAGTAAGTCATATTTATTTTTATTCTGGAACAATTCTCCAAACTGGTTGTGTTTTATGACAAAGAACAAAACATTACACTATGTTTCAGACCATTTTGTCCTTTAAAACTGGTCAACCAGGTGGGAAATATTAAAGCACTACAAATTATACGAATAATTTTCCACTTGAGCTTCATTTCCCGAATAGAAGAAGTCCAAATGAAAGAAACCATGAATTTTTCTGCTGTGGAGATGCGTATCAGCCGATGATGCATTTCAAGCTATATTAATTTGATTAAAAAGTTTATCCTTAATAACCTGAGACATCAATCCATGTATAGCTTCTATGGTGGTCTTGCAGCTGAAAAACAAGCATAAATTCAATGTTGGCTACACACTGAACTAAGCTGTCATTGCATCTGAAGATATTCAGCTGTTTTGGAAGATCAGGGTGCCCATAACCCCATGAATCTCCACAACTGTCCAGAAACAGAAAGTTGCACGCAGGAATTCAGCCATTGTTGCCAATAACATTTTGTTATTTAAGAAGCCAACTGACAAGTGCTGCGCATACAATGACCAGCTTCAGAAAACCTCCCTGCTCGCAGCTTGGGACACCTTGTGCACGCGCAGGGAGCGAGCGCTGCGCTCGCTGCAATCGAGATTCCCCCAACTGCAGCCAAAGGAGCTACCAACTCTCCTCTACCCTACACCAGGTACCTCGTGCGTGGTCATCCGAGCTCCCCCTAGAGCCTCCCGGAGGGCATTAAGGGAAGCATTTATACMCCCAAATATGTGCAATATGTACGTATGAAAAGAACAGCCGAGAAGATWCCCACTGATTCAGTTTTTGTTTCATGTGCTTGCCTTATGGGGATGCAGTATTAAATTAGCACATAAACACGCCTCCAGCCAGAATACACGGACATGGAAGGCAACCAGCCCTGGAGGCAAGAAAAATAGGGAAAAACTGCCCCGGGACAAATCCAGGATTCCTAAGCAGGAAAGGAGGCTACCTCAGAGCACAGCTCGACTAATGCAAACGGGACTCCTGGGTAGCTGCTCTCAGTGACACGGACACACACATCGGAAGAGGTKTTATGTAGCTGCAAGACCAGAAGATGGTATCTAGTAGATGTTATGTTTAAGTAACCCAATACCCTGTAAGTTGTGGCCTTTATTTATTTATTTATCCTTGCTTTCTGCTACAACAGGTACACACCAACTAGGAAAATTACTCATCCCTCAGGAAATACTTAGTAATCTTATTTTTTTTAAAGATAATTCAGGTGTTGCTGAATCAATTGTTATAAATAAATGCGTCAATTAATTAACTGCTGCACCAGTCTACTAGCAGCTGTTCTCTTTTCTTAGGACAGGCTTTTACCTGAAGAAGAACAGGCATCCATGAAAGTGTCTCAGAAATCCTGCAGACCACTGTTTCATGGAAGCAGATACACCTACGTGTATGAAATCTAATCACACTACAGAAGAACACAGCCTCCTCCTGGAGAGCAGGGTGACTTTTAGAAYAGTGACACCCAATGTTCAAATGACACCCAATGTTCAATTTGGTAGGAAGTAATTCCAGGAAGAATGGGAAGAGCACTACCCTGTGTTACCCAGGAAAGCAGAACTGGTGACAACCACCACCCTTTTAGTTTTAGAATTTGTAAGTCAAGCACTAACCATGTCTGAATAAAAYCAGGAAAAATTGATCTCTAGAAACACCGCAAGAAATAGCATAGTGGGGTGATGAGAAAARGTGAACATTTCATGTCTCAGAAAAACCATAAGCATGTGAGAGGAACATGAAATTTAAGTGCTGTCAATGCTTTGTAACACCAGACAGGGATTGACACCAAGGCAAAACCTGTTGGCAACTTCATCCTTGTAGCAACTTTAGAGCATTGCTCTTGTGGACATTTCACTAGAGAGGAACAAAGAGCATTTTAGAAATTGGGAGGTATCAGTTACAGTAATGAGTAACAGCATTACACAAAGCACTTGCAATGGAGGTAACTTAAGCAGACTAAATGKGTTTTAACTTTTATTATCCCTCTCAAAATAACCTCCAAACCRTATCTACCATRTTTGTTAAAAACAAACAAACAAAAACTATAAAAGCTGCTAGCACTGCAGAACAGGGAATCAAAAATGCAGGTCATGCTAGCACAACTCTGATTCTGCTTAGCAGTGACCACATTACACTTGCTGTATTGGTATATGCACACGTATATGTACAATGTATGCACCACAGCATACAGGGAACAAAAGCCTTATCTAACACAGAAAATTCCTGACTCCTGCTCTTTATGTGGTCAGCTGAGTCATAGTGAGCAAGTACTTCCTACACTTGCAAAATGTACATGTAAAGTACAAAAAAAAAAAAAATCTTTCTGCAACAGGTGTCTTTTAATCTATGCTTTCACTTACCTGCCATTAAACTCATCACTCATTTGGTACCTCAAAAATCAAACCTTGGTCATCAGTGAAGTTTATTTTGTGGTACGATAAAAATTGAACAAATAAAGAGATCTATCCTAGTTACCAGGATAAAAACATGAGGAAGAGGGCYAGAAATCTCCAAAGCAAAGAAAATGTCTCAGATCTTACTGAACTTTTGCAATCTGTTCCAACTGATTTTACATTTGAGTACAGTTCCTTACTGAAGGGATTTGTATCTCATTCTGAACACTCCCCAAATGCATGCAGGTGAGGCTGGAGTACTGGGGTACCGCTGGCTTCTCCACAGAAGGGCCTGGGACTGCAACAGGATGTATTTTAGGGCAGCACTTCCTGGTTTTCAGAGCCCAGGATTTGCCAAATGGAAGTTGRCAAATATAGCATTAAGGCCGAGATACTGTGTGACTTCTACAGGATACAGTTTTGAGTCTCTTGTTTCTATCTATACTCTTGGTAGGTTAAAATTGGTAGGTTACAACTGCAGCCCTGAAAATAAGATTTTAAAGCAAAGTAACATTTTTTTAAGCATGATCAATACAGGTGCACATTATCTTACCTATCTCTTGTTGCTTTAGCAAGTTTGTCTTCTGATTTCTTATCGTGAGTCTCTAAACCCAGCATGAAACTGCCCCGTCCCAGCTGAGCTTCTGACTGCTCTAATTTTTCAGACAARTCAAAGACTTGGCCAGTGGTATAATCAGCATTCTTACAAGAAAGAAAGAAACAAACATATTGAATTCTGAGCTTAGAAGACCATATTAACACAGAATCACAGAATATTCAAGGTTGGAAGGGACCTCTAGAGATCATCTAGTCCAACCTTCCTGCTATTATCATTACATGCACACACAAATAAACAAATGACATCAGGAAAGGGCTTGAAAAGTCTGTGGTACCGCAAACTTTAATCTATAACTCCATTTAAGTACCACTGAACATTCAAGTGGCAGCTAAACCTAATTCAGACTATGATCTGCTAAGAAATACTCAAATCCTGACACAGGTGCTCATTATTGCTCTTTATTGTGCTCTATCGCACATCCTAAGCAATGTAACTAAGAAAGAACAAGTGAAATCCAGTTGTTTTTGACTAAGAGAAAAGATGCAAAATGGACTTTTGCATAAGAGTAATTTGATGCTTAGCTGTTACTTTGGAGGTCCAACTGCAGTGTATCTGTTGCAACTTCATTTTAAGTTCTACTAAACAGTAATCGTTTCCCAATTGACATTAAGGGATACTGTTCATTACAGTACTGTAGAAGACTATAATATAAAAAGATATTTAAGAAAGTGACAAAATTATATGTAACTGGGCAAAGTTATACATAAGAAGTTATGCCAACCTTCTACCTATAAGGGCAGATATAAGGAACATTCAAGTATTTCTGGTTTATTGTTCAAATATGACATGCAGGTTTTCCATGTGGAAGCTACATTATCTGTTAGTGCTCCATTATGCATTTTACGGTTGAACACCTGGCTTTTAGCACAAATGATTTAAACAGGCACATTATAGTACTTACAGTAAGTAAACTAGAAGAACTCAGTGTGTTCACCCAGTATTTGTTCCACAAAAGCTCAAGCAATTTACGATCCAAAGATGATTTGAAGTAAGAGACCTCTAAAGCATAATACCTTTAAAAGCAAACATGCAAACAAGATTAGCTTACAATTAAATGCACCTTTTTTTTCGGATGGGAGTTGAACAGCCAGAAATTACACGTGTCTGAAAAATACTGATCAATGGGAGATATCTTCAGTAATTCAAGGCACAGAACAATAAAGTTACCACTAGTTCAAATTCTAACTCTAAAAGTCTTTTCCATACTTAGYATATAGCTTTAATACAGGTTTAGGTAATTCACACTTCTTTTTCTGGTCCCACTGCTAAAGMTGTATCTGACCCTTTCCCCTCTGCCCTAAGACAGCACCCCTACTTGAAGTCATTCAAAAACTTCTAAAGTTTTTTCCCCCATTCACCTTCTTCATTGAAGTGTTTCTCCCTTAAAATACTTTATGGTAAAAGACATTTAAATAACACTTTTATGCAAAACCAACTGCTAAAGCAACAGAGAACTTTAGGATTTGAGACACTCCAAGAAATACTCTTGTCCGTGCTTAGCATTTATGCTATGCTAAACATAAAAATTGAGAACCTGTGCTAAAACCAGGCTTTTTTAAGTTACTTACTGTTTACAATGTACACCAAAGTCTTCTATTTTATTAAGTGGAATAGTCTGGTATTCAGATGGACCTTCATCTGGAGGTTTATAGCCCTAAAAAAAAAAAAAAAAAAACACACACACCAAATAGCACAAAAATGACACAGTAAGTTTGGGATATTTTTAACTTAGTTCTTTATGAGCTCTTCACAAAAAGACACAAACATACCTCCAGAAAGCTATTTTCTAAAGGATTTTTTTTCCCCAGTAGTCTGGAAATTAGTATTTTCTTGCATTGCAGATTTACATTTGGCTTTACTAACAGTCATTACAGTTACAGATTATCAATAACCATGTTGGAAGGAAACTGGCAGTCACAATTCAGTTATTTTAAACAGGTAGAATGAGAAGTTACGATTAGATCATTTCTAAGATCAAGGAATGACACAGCACAAACACAAGACTACATCTTTTTAGAAGGTAACTCAATTCTCTTTTGAGGGAAGACAGAAATCAGAAGAAGAGAGAGGAAACATCTGCCTTGACTGTCCTGTGAACACTTTCAGGTGGATACTTTGGTCACTAGCCAAGACAGTGCCCCTTTCATAGCTACCGAGCTAGCAAGAATGCCAGTAAGGGACAAAAAGTACTCCCTAAAAACATCCCAGTGTGCTTGTTATAAATAGGGTTTGCTTTTCCAGGTCAGGATTCTTCTCCCCGACCAAAGTTCTGAAAGCATCTGTAAGGTGGTTTTGCCTACAGCAGTGAATATTCTTTTGAATCAGAAAATGTTCTAAGACCATCCCCTGTGTATTTGCAACATAAAAACAATGTCTGAATACATTTGGGAACTTCTCACAAGCATTTTGTTAATTAGTTTTGTTTCCATGCCAGACTGAAATTTCTGACAAGTCAGTAACTGTAAACCCAAAGCACACACCTGAACTTTATCAGATCAGACTTAAATAACATATGCATATTTCTGCCAGAAATATCTAAACGTAGTCTCCCATATTTACATCATTTCATAGTTTTTAGATTTTCCATACTGATTAATTCTCCATTTTTATTTCTTGTACATTATTTATACACAAACTCCATGTTACTTATTTAAAAGAAATTTTGAATCTTGCCTGTTTCAAATAAACTGTATAAAACATTGCTGAACTTAGTTTTAACTCTAGAAACTAGGAATTAACATGAACCTATTTTCATGAATATCCCATAGAACTACATCCATCAAAAGCTGATACATCGATAGCTCCAAAATCCAGACAGTCTACTTGATTTAATACTGACAAAAATCTATTCAAAACCACCAGAAGTCAGCCTTTCTAAATGTAATCAATGTACAAAGATACACAATAACTTGTATGTCAGCATGTCTATTAAGATTAACAATAACATACAATATACTAAAGTAGSTCAAATTGTCAAATAATCAAATTGCAGTAATTTGGGGAAATAGGAACTAATCAATCGGAGACAGTTTAAATGATGTTGCAGTAGGTAATTTCAACTAGTTAACTTGTTACCTTAGGATATGTTCTAAATGCTCCAAGATTTACTTTTCCAGCAGATATTGTTCTTGTTGGATCAATCTGTAAAAATACAGAACAAGGTAATGCTTGTTATATGTATTTTTGTGAACTATTACAGGAATAAGTTAGCTTCACAGTAATTGTATTTCAAAAAGAGAATTCTTGCACAGTGAATTACTTTTGTCATAAGCAGTAATTTTTCAACTGGCATCTACTGGTGAAAGATTGCTTGTAAAAAGATGGCAATATTAAGAGCGTTCAACGGACTATTCTTCACACTCATTTCCCCTGTTTCCCAAACACTTCAAAGGAACAGCGCTTGGAGCAATCCACAAATCATAATAAAAATCTGCATTTTTCTCATCTGCAGTGGCTATGAGCTAGAAGTTTGCAATCTGCTGTACATTCAGTGTAGGACTCYCCTTGATAACGTTTACTAACACACAGCTTAATTTTCAAATTAAAAAAAACACCCACAATTATTTAAAAAGATTCAGCATTTGARCATTCTGAATTCATGAAATTACACCATAATATAGGATAACTCACACAGAAGGAACACTTCCTAAGACTGATTTATCCTTTTCTAACATAATTTTATGATCAGAGCTATATTCCTTTTCTCTGATTTCCATCTTCTTTTTTCCTTTATTATGTCCTTCCGCAGCAATGGTTACACAGTTTTTAAAAAGGTCAGTATTGATTTAAAATGTGATCTGAAGCCTGGAAGACAAGGAAAGGCCCAACATGTTTTCCAGAAGATCTTTTCTTCAAAGATAACTTTTCTAACATGTACTYATACTGTGCCAATTATTTCATTTGGAATGAATTTTATCTTAACTCTATTAAACTGAAAAGACAACTAATAGAAAAAAAAAAATCAAACAATAAGAAATCCAGAATTTTTCATCTATTGCAACAAGATGATTGTGGATTGTTCAATACATTTTTGGGGGAGAAGTTTAAGCAGAAGTTTAAGATAAAAGCAGCATACACATTTCAGCAGAACTACAACATTCTGACGGATGCAGTGAAAGTGCCCTCAGGGAACAACTGCTACAGTTTTGACCAGTGTGTGGCCAAAAAAACAAAAGGAATGATGCCAGTTTAAGATTTGGAGCTAACACTTCCATTACGCAGTCTGTGTATTACTGAACATTAACCATCAAAAATCTGAAAATAATTCCTTCCTCAACATAATTTGTTCCTCATTTTTACCAGCTTATTGAATAACTATCAGGCAGTACTTACAACTACTGCTACAAAGGGTTCTTGAAACTGCTGGTTAAGCATCTGCGTGCTGACATCAATACCAGAGAGCCAGCAACCATAGCCAGGATGGCTGTGGTACCAGCCAATGGCATTTTCCAGGCGGCCAACCTAAGGGGAGGGAAACAACAGAAATCCAGGGTTAGATTCTTCCATCCTGTAGGCGACAGCTGCCCTCTGCTGGGCCTTCTAGCACACTACAAAGAAATGGTAAAAAGATACAGAATACAAAAATAGCCTAGGTACTAAAAGTACAATTTCCCTTGCAAAACTATTTTTTARAAACCATATAACCTGTATTAACATTCTCTGTTACAGTTACTACCACAAAACAAAGAAATTCAACTGTAAGGAGTCATTTTTCGAACAATAACTGAAGTACAGAATAGATACATTCTGGTGAGATAAGAGCTACATTCTGGTGAGATAACAGCTAAGCTGGGACTGCACAGCATGGAAGAAAAAAATCTTAGGAAAAAATATGATGTAAAAGTATAAAAATGTCTTATCACACACTAGTACGTCYGCAGAATATGTTCATTATTTATTACAATCTTCAGAAGCATATTATGAGTTCATTAGGAGTTTTAAAAGCAAAAAGATGCATACTTTCAAATACCAAAATGTCAGAATTCATTGCAAAAAGAATCCTATGAAGACCAACAGTTCAAGTGTATAGATGTGGGGGTATCAGAAAAATTAYCCATCCATGTCTCCATATAACACCCTGGCTATATCTACCAACTCTGGAAGAAACAAAACAAAACACAGACTGAACACCTGTTACATCTAGACTTACRGTGATCCTGATTCAGAAATTTTTTATTGGCTGCTGAATACTRCTGGGTTGAAAGAACTTTCAACTGGACACCAAACACACATATATAAATATGGCTTAAAAGACACCAAACTCTAAACTATGTTTATTCTTTTCTGATCTCCTGATACAACTTCATTCTCTTTTGCTTGCAAATATTTAACTGAATATAAAGGAGTAAACGGAAGACATCTCTAAGTTTTATAACTTAAAATAACTCAGGATGAAAGATATACTGGGTCTACAACTATTTGAGCGTGGTCAGTTGTGATGATTTATAGGATTCACAGGCAGCTTATGAATAAGACTGGAGTGCCCAGCACTATTCCAGGTAACCTGATGCGCTGTGCTGGTTTCCAGATCTGCCACAGAACAGACTCCCGCTTCCGCAACTCTTCTGCCTGTGAGAATCTTACTGTGTGCTCAGCTTAGTACGATCTCTGAGAGCATCGTGAGGAGGAGGGGATATGCATTTCACAGTCATTAATTCTACCTTGAGTCAGTCTATTTGACATGTTAAATTTTAAGCCTGGAGAACTTATGGTCACTGACACTTATTCCTTCATTAGTATTTTTCTTCATAAACATATTTTTCCTAAGTTATGGAAAACAGTGAAAACGAGTGAGCCACTCTTTTTTTAAAGCTATTCTTTAAAAAAAAAAAAAAAAAAAAAAACAAAAAAACCCCAAAAGGTTAAAAATGCAAGAAACTAAGAATAGAGGTTATTCTCCTCTTGAATAATTTTACACACAAGTTAGATTTGATTTTGTACAGTGTTTTCAGAAATGCATACTCTATGGAGCAGAGGAGTGTTCAGAACCACACTCCCTCCCTATTCCACTCACAAGCCGCCAGCTGCAGCCACACAAACACTTCCCAGGACTGAAACCAAGGCGGAGGAGAACCYGCTGAGCGCCCAACGGCCTATTCTGAGGCAGGAAAATAAACAMGAAAATGCAAAAAGGGTCGGACTCCTCACACACCACAGCCCTCTGGGGAGAAGCTGCTAGGTGGAGGCGGCACCGCCACTCTTTACCTGCTTGGCGTTCTCGATGTAGGCAGCCATGTACTCGTAGGCGGCCGCCTGCGCGTTCACGCGCGTCTCGGTGCCCTCCACGGGCAGGGCGAAGCTGTCCATGATGATCATGGTTTCGCCRTCCACCTTGCCCAGCATGAGCCCCATCACCTCCAGGTTGCCGCCCGACCTGGCGTGCATCACCATCTTGAGCAGGGCGAGCGCCGAGATCTTGCAGTACTTGAAGTAATGGTGGCTGCCGGGGGAGAGAGGCCGCGAGAGGCGCTCAGGCCCCGGCCCGCGAGCCGCCCCGTCTCACCCCAGGCCCCGGCGCTCTCACTCACTCCTTGGTCCAGGGCTTGGCCGCCAGGATCTCCTGCTGCTGCTTGCGGTCGTACTTGTAGATCTCGTCGATGCTCTGCGCCTCCTGCATGTTGTTGGCCAGTTCCCACGTCTTCTGCGCCATCCCGCTCCCGGAGGCGCCGCCGCCGCCCGCCGCCGCCATGGCCGCCCCAACCGCCCGCTGCGGGGGGGGCACAGGGGGAGCAGAGGGGTGGTGCAGTCCGCGCATGCGCGGCGCAACCCCCACCGCCACCAACGGCTCACTGTGGGGGGGCACAGGGGGAGCAAAGAGGGTGGTGCAGTCCGCGCATGCGCGGCGAGGCCCCCGCCGCCACCAACAGCCCTCTGCGGGGAGGGCACAGGGGGAGCAGAGGGGTGATGCAGTCCGCGCATGCGCGGCGAGGCCCCCGCCGCCACCAACGAACAACCCCGGGAGGGGGATGTGGGGGAAATGGTACAGGCCACGCGTGCGCGGTGCGGTCCCCGGAGGCGGCGCGGCGCCGCCGCCTCTGCCCGGTCAATAAAAGCCTTTAACGGAAATCTGGGCGGCTCTGTAGGTTTGTGGGCGGGTGCTTGGCGCGGGCGGGCTCTGACAGGGGCTTGGGAGGTTCAAACGCGCCGCTCCGCCGCGCGGAACCGGCCGTGGGGCAGCGAGCGGCGCCGCAGCGGCTCTCGCTCCGCCGCCCTCCGTGGCGGCAGGGGGCGCTGCGGGGCGCCCGTTTCCGGGGCGGCGGGAGCGCGCGCGCGGGACGCGCAGGGACGCGGAGGCAGCGCCGCGGAGCCGGTGAGCGCAGCAGAGCGGAGCCGGTGAGCGGAGCGGCGCGGAGCGGGCGGGCAGTGCGGGACCCCAACCCGCGGGTGCGCGC